CATCTCTCTCTCTTTTTGGCCTTGAATCGTCTTCTCCTGTGTCGCTTTGTTATCTTTTCGGTACTGTCATATTCTTCTTCTTCTTCTCATTTTTATTCTTTGCCTTCGTCTTCTTCTTCTTCTTCTGTCCATCCCCCTACGATCTCCATTTTTGTCTTTTGCCTTTCAAGTTTTTTTTTTATTTCATTTGATTCTGCCGAAGGTTTTAGGGTTTTTACCTCTAGATTTTATCTCTATTTTTCCTTTTCTTTTCCCTTTGAACTTATTTTTACCGATAAAATTGAAAATATTTGGCAAAATTCCAAATTTTCCATCAAATCAATTTCAAATTTCCCACTCCCCGCGCTTTCCGCGCGTCGCTCCCCTCCCCCTTCTTATACGCATTGCCGCGCCGTGCCTCTTATGTGCGCGTGTGGCCGACTGGCTAGCGCGCCTGCTTTTGATGCGGAAGGTCGTTGGTTCGAGTCCCGGCAGGTGTAAAACTTTGTTTTCTTCTTTTTTCTTCTTTTTCTTCTGGCTCCAGGTGCTTTTCAAAGAGTCAATAAGCCAATTTGATGATGACTAAGAGCCTCCAAACAGAAAAAGTGAAAAAAGAAAACAAAATTATGGACTTTCTCTTCTAAAATGTTCTACATCACAAATCTAATAATGCTAATCCCCGCGCTTTCACTTTTTAAAAGATCAAAGAATCCATATACATTTGTTTGATCACCTATTCTTCTTTTTCATATTGAATGGATGGGATTTTCAGATTTTCAGATTCTGTTGTTCCATTCAATTAGATTCTTCGTGAATAATGCCTTTCATTCCGATAATAATGTCATCTCGGCTCGGAAAACTTTGTTTATCTCCAAAGAACTTCTTTCACACTTTTCACTTCCATTAATCCCGAAGAGAAGGGTCAAAATCCCCATAGGAAGTGGTTAAATTAAATGGATGAGGGATATTTGGAAGAAGACGTCAAGGAAAACGAATTTCATTAGATTAAATGACGAAAAACGTTTGCTGGACCCTTGTAAAAAGAAGCAAAAAGTGTTTGGCGCCAGTGGGTGTCGAACCTGGGACCTCTAGAATCAAAAGCGGGCACGCTAGCCAGTCGGCCACGCACGGACAATGAAGAGGAACTGGTGGGAGGCGTATAAGAAAGGGCGCGGAACGGGGAGCGGAGGGGATCGGGGAGGCGGGAATTTGAAATTTGAAAATGTTGTAAAATCTAACATTTTGATTTCTGTGATTTCTGAGTCATTTTTGATTTTACTATTTTTCTATTTTTGTATGTATTTTTGTCCCTAAATTCATTTTAAAAGTGTAGATTCAACCCGTCTGGCGCCCAGCCAAAAATTCCGTTCTCTCTCTGTTCTAAAGAACTGTTTTAGAGGAGGCGCGAACTGTTTGCCGAGTGATTAGAGAGACAGAAAGAGAGAAAAGAGAGATCATAGAAACAAAGAAAAAGGGCCACGGGGTGTTAGGCGAAGAAGAAGAAGAAATGATAGCCCCAGCGGCTACTACTGTCTGTAGCCGAATTTTCTTGATTTTTTCTCTTGAAAACTGTATAAAACCAGCTTAGAAACCTATTCTGGTCCCTTTAACATCATTAGAAAAGAAGCAAAAAGAGAAATTGCGCCGGTGGAAGTCGAATCCGGGACCTTCAGCTTCAAAACCGAGCGCGCTAGCCGGTAGGCCACACGCGCATGCATACGGGGAGGAGCGGAGGGCGCACAAGAGAGCGCGGGAAACAAGGCGCGGAGAGGGTGCGGTGGTGACGCGAGGAGTTGCTAGATTTTGGAATTTTGGCATAGTGCCAAAAAACAAAAATGGCTTAAAACTATAGTTTTGAGCTTGTTTGTGAGCCGGAAGTCCTCTCAAATCGTTTAAGACTCTAAAAATGCACCAAAAATCAACTATTTTTGTTTTTATCTAGCTTTTTTTTCTGGCCAAATGCCAGAATTTCCTTTCTCTCCCATTAATTATATGGTAAATATACCTAATATGTTAAAATTCAAAGATTAGAAAGCTCAAAAATTCGAAAACGACTCAAAAATCAACATTTTTCCTCTCAAATCGAGGGAAAATTTTGAAAAAAAATTTCAAAAAAAATTAAAAATCTGCCAATTGTTTGAATTTTTCTCTAGTTTTGAACTGTCAAAAGCTACATTATTGACAAATTTTCAATACCTAACCACCCTAATTTTCTTGTCTTTATCAAAAATTCCCCACCGTCAATTTTCGCCGTCCGCGTTATCAGTTTGGTGGGGGCAACACTGTGTGTGTATAACAAAACCGTCGCCTACCCGATCGAAACTTTTTTTTTCTTCTATTTTGTTGATTTTTTCGGTTTCCCCATCTTTTTCAACATAGAATAGCAAAAAAGTCGAGAAAAATCGGTTCATTCTGCGTATATTCCCATTTTTTGAACCCCTTTCTGAAATTTAGGTATATCTCAAAAACGGTTAGAGTTAGAATTAAAATATTCACTGTGAAAATGTTTAAAATAACATTTTACACATTTTTGTAGTTTACAACATTTTGATAGCTACTGTAGTTTTTGAGATATGCACCTTTAAAGTTGGCGCTCCTTCTCGCACGAGAAGAAGGGACACTCTAGCTGTCTGCGTCTTTATCTCAAAAACCATTGTAGCTATTAAAAACTATAAACTACAAAAATGAAGCTTATAAAATTTTCTACATTTTGATGTTAAAGTCATTTTATTAGCTTTTTTAGAACTTGAGATATGGAAGTTTGAAAAATATTCCTTTTACCTCCAAAAAATGCTTTTAATCTCTAAAACTAAATTAGCTAGCTAAATTTTATTATTTACAAAATGTAAAGCATGAAATTTCACACAAATTTGCAATTTACAAAGTTTACCTAGCTACCGTAATTTTTGAGATAAGCGCCTTTAAAGTCGACACGCTCTTTGCCGCGCGCAGAGCGGCGAGACACTCTAGCTGTCTGCGTCTCTATCTCAAAAACCGTAGCAGCTATCAAAAAGCTTCAAACTACAAAAATAAAGCTTATAAAATTTCCTACAGTTCGGTTAAAAAATCATTGCTCTAGCTTTTTTAGAACTTAAGATATAAACATTTTTAAAACTTCAATTTGTAAAAGAATGAATACAGTTTGTAGTTGTTTTGTTTTCTTCTTCTCGCCCATTCTTCGATTGAAATTCAGACTCCGCCCCTTTTGATCATTGATCCTCTATAATAATGAGGGGGTACTGTCCCTATTTTATGTCATTGAGACTGACCAAGACGATTTTTTGAATTATATGTTAGTTTTTTTTAATGACGTCATTTTAATTTTTTTGAATTCTTTAGAACTTCGAAAAACTTTTTTTGTTTGAAAAATGGATTACTGTACTTTTTCAAAATTTCGCAATTTTGTCTAATATTAGATCATGGCCCATAGATTTAGAAAAAATCGAAAAACAAATTTTTGCATTTTTTTTTTTTGAAATTTCAAATTCTCATATTCTGAATTCTAGAAAACCTAAAATTTCAAATTTTACACCAAAATGTAGGACATTTTATAAGCTCTATTTTTGTAGTTTGTAGCTTTTCAATAGCTGTCATGGCTCTTGAGATAGAGACGCAGACAGCTAGCGTTCCTCGCTTCCGTTTTCGGACAAAGAGGGCATCGCCAATTTTGAAAGCGCATATCTCAAAAACCGTGAAGGTTATCAAAAAGCTGTAAACTACAAAAGCACGGAAAATTTTATGCTGAGCAATTTTGTTGTTGACGGTTTTTCAATAGCTCTGAAGGTTTTTGAGATATCTCAATTTTTAAAATGCATTTTTTTTTGAAAAAAATGTTTTTTTTCGAAATTTCAAACTCTCATATCTCAAATTCCAGAAAACCTACAAATTTAGATTTTACACCGAAATGTAAAAAATTTCATAAGCTCTATTTTTGTAGTTTGTAGTTTTTTATTAGCTGTCGTGGTTCTCGAGATAGAGACGCAGACAGCTAGCGTGTCTCGCTTCTATGCGGCGCTTTTCCATTTTCGGGAAAAGAGGGCGCCGCCAACTTTAAAAGCGCATATCTCCAAAACTACGGTAGCTAACCCTATTTTGTAAATTACAAAAATGTGCCAAATTTTATGCTGAGCAATTCACATGTTACCGCATTTTTATAGCTATTTTGTTTTTAAGATATATCAAGTTTTAGAAATGGTATTTTTTGGAAAAAAAAAATTATCTAAAGTTTCAAGTTTTCATAACTCAAGTTCTACAAAGCCACAGTATTTACACTAAAATGTAGGAAATTTTATAATCTTCATTTTTGTAATTAAAATTTTTCTGATAGAATTTTTGGTTTTTGAGATAGAGACGCAGACAGCTAGAGTGTCTCGCTTCTCTGCGGCGCTCTTCCGATTTCGGGCAAAGAGGGCGCCGCCAACTTTAAAGGCGCATATCTCCAAAACTACGGTAGCTAACCCTATTTTGTAAATTACAAAAATGTGCCAAATTTTATGTTGAGCAATTTCCAAGTTACCACATTTTGATAGCAATTTTGGTTTTTTAGATATGACTATTTTTTTTGGCAAAGTGCCAAAACCGGCGTCTCTCGAAAATCAATACTCTTTCTCTTTTTAACTCCTGTATCTTGATCAGACGCCCATCCAATTTTTTTCCCGGGACACAGGAGGTGTGGCCGTCGAGGTGGCGAGAGAGGTGAAAAAGACAAAAAGACGGGGCCGACCGATCGACCTCTTGATATGTCACATTGTCTGCTCTCTGTTTTCTCTGCCCACTCTCTTAAAAATCAATACTCTCTCGTCGTCGCCCATCGCCTCTCGATCAGTTTGCCCCTTGGCGCCCCTATATTTCTTTCTTCCTCTCTCTCGGTTTTTTTTCACTTTTTTTACTTCTTTTTCTTCCATTTTTCTCCATTTTCTCAAAAATTCTAATTGCCAATCGAATGTCCTTTTAGATCCCATTTCAAGCTACATACAAATCTCAAAAAAAAAAACTCTAAAATCTGAATAAGCTGAGCAATCATGATTCGAGGACTAAACTCGCCGGGTGGCCTCGGACTAAACAGTCCGAGGGGCCAACCGGGTGGTCCACCGCCACCACCGCCCACCAGTCAGGCTCCACAACAAGTGTTCTATGATGATGAGCCGTATCAGGCTAACGCTACACGGTTCCCGTTTGGTGGGAATGCCGCGAAAATTGTAAGGTTTTAAAGAGGCAAAATTTTGGAATAATTCAGTGAAAATAATGCTGAAATCGGTCCATTTTGAAGGTTTTTAAAGCTAAAAAACTTGAAATAAGCTTAAAATTCGTTCCGCTCAAAGTAGCTTCGTTAAAAGCTGAAAATGATCGTTATTGACTATTTAAAATTGATGTTTGATGTTTTTATTGAATTTCGCACTAGATTTCCTTCAAAATAAGCCAAAAAACCTAGATATTGAAGAATTTTTAAAGGTTTTTAGGGTCAAAAATACTTGAAATGTGCTCAAAATTGCCTCAAAGTAGTTTGAAGCCAAAATTGACTAATTTATTGTTTCTATAGCTTATTTTTTACGTTACAGCAAGATTTAACACTGAAAATTCTAAAAAATGAGCCAAAAAACTGAAAAATTTGATTATTTTGAAGGTTTTTAAGGTCGAAAAACTTTAAATGTGCATTAAATTGGCTCGAAGTAGTTTGAAGCCATAATTAACTGTTTCTCCTTTGTATAACTTATTTTTGACGTTTTTATCAAATTTTGCACTATAAATCCTTTAAAATGAACCTAAAAACTCAAAAAATGGTTAGTTTTGAAGGTTTTTATAATAAAAAACTCTATATCAGCTTAAAATAGTCTCAAGTTTCATTTAGAGCAGAAATTGAACTTTTAAAACCTCCTAAGGTTTATTTTTAACGTTTCTCTCTCTCTCTCTCTCTCTTTCTCTGCTCTCCCTTCAAATGCATTAGCTAGAGCGCCAGACGACAAGACACCTCTCGCTTCTCTGCGCCCTCTCCGCTCCCCCCACTCTCTCCACTCACCGACTTTAAAGGCGCATAACTCGCTTCAGACTCAACCAATCTTTTTTGATTTTTAATTATTTTGTAGGAAATTTCAAGAGCTTCTGAATAATATATAACACTATACAAGTATTCTTACAAAAAATTAGAAAATTTCAATTTTTCAAAAATATCCCCAAAAAAGGTTCAAATCATCATAACTCCTTTCAAAACTGACCGTTTTTGGTCAATTTTTTTGTGTTCATGAACTCTGAAAACGTAGAAAATGTCCATAATAAAAATTGCCTTTGTTTCGTCCCTCTTCGCGTTTTATCACACTCATTGATTGACCGATCGTCGGTCACAAGGGGGTATCATCAAGACACAGACACCTTTTCTTTTTTTTTCGCAAAAAAAAATTATTGAGAAAAAAAAATAATAAGAAAACAGCTGTTGTCTCATTTTCATGTTTGGCGGGAATTTGAAATTTTTGAAAATATTTTTAAAAATAAAAAAAAAAGTTTACTGGCTCCGCCCACTTTTTTTGATGCTGTTCTTTGAAGCGTTATCACTTTTATGCTTCAATTTTGAATTAATAATCTTATTAAGTGGTTACTGTAGCTTATTTTTGGACTTTGTAGTTTGTAGTTTGTAGTTTGTAGTTTCTAGAATTCAAAAAAGTGAATTTTTGAGTTTAAATCTCTTCAAGTTTCTTCAAATTTTCTCAAATTTTCTGGGACAACTGGCATCTGGGGATCTCAGACTTTAAGGTCATTAATCAAATGGGACCATTTGCCCAGTGGGTGATTAGAGGAGAGATAAGAAGGGGGCAGTGATAACAAGGATTGGTAGGCAGGAGAAGAGATAGGGATCTTCTGGAGAGAGATTAGATAATAAAGGGATACTATTTGGCAGTGTGCCAGAGTTTTCTGGATTTTCTGAAATATAGAATTTTAAATTGTTCTTCACAAATCTTTAAACTGCCAAAAAATTGGTAGAAAATTGAGAGAATAGTGGGGTTTCTATGATTTATAAAGAGCATTTTTCAAATGGTCCAAACAAATTGAAAATTACATTTTCTGAAAATTTGATTAAAATATTCTGAAAGCTCATTAAATTTCCTACAAAACTGTGAAAACAATGATGAAAATGGTTGAAACTGAAAAAAGTTATGTGCCTTTGAAATTTTTTTTTTATTTCAAAAAATATTTTTCCAAATGAATTTTCAGACATTCTTTTTTTTTGAAAACTCATTTTTTCAATTTTAAATGTCAAATTATTTTGAACCTCTCAAAATTTCCTACAAAACTAACTATTTTTCATTTTTAAAGCTCAATTTTGAACCGAGTTATGCGCCTTTAAACATCTGCGCTATCGAACTTGAAATATGCCCCCCTTAATCACAACATATCTCAAAAACCGCAAAAGCTGGCAAAAATTTGCTAACTGCAAAATTGCTCAGCATAAAATTTCACACACTTTTGTAGTTTACAACTTTTTGATAGCTACAGTAGTTTTTGAGATATGCGCCTTTAAAGTTGGCGGGCGCCCCTTGCGAGAGGAAGAGACGCAGAGAAGCTAGCCTGTCTCGTTTCTCTGCGTCTCTTCTTCTATTCTGACCACTGCATAATTTGTGGTCAGACCAGAAGCACCAGTTGGATAGAGAAGTCTCGAAAAACAACTAGTTTTGGCACAATGCCAATAAAATTCTCTTTTCCGTTGGTCTTCTTTTTCTCTTGTCTCTGCGTCTCTCTCCCTCTAACACTATTTCTCTCTCGCTTTCGGTTTTTGGCTGAAAAGAACCGCCAAATAGTAGTAAACAATAGTTTTGTGTTCATTTTTGCTCATTTTTCAGTGTATGTCTGTCCCACATGAGCTCAATGAGCAACTTTTTTTGGGACATGTTTTGGGGCTTTTTTGGACTTTGAAATGAATTTTTGAGCTCTAAGATCAAGTCTAAGGGTATTTTAAGTTGAAAATTCGAATTCTACGCTTATTTTTGGTCTAGAAACTGCCTGAAAAGTAGATCTGAATGATTTGAGGGCTTTTCAGAGGTATTTGAAAATTCATGGAATTTTTTGATCCCGAAAATCTTGATTCCAAACATTTTGGGCCAAAATTTCCAACCAAAAAGTTTCTACAGTAATTTTTAGCGGGAAATTCAAATTTGTCACTCCCCAACCTCTGATTTCTCAAATTTCCGCGATTTCCAGATGGAGCAACGTCGAGAGACGGGCAACCTCATTCCACACTCACAACGAACGATGGGCTCGGCCACGCCGTTTGGCTCCGCCCCCACACAGAGCTATTTTGGCTCGTCGGGACAGATGAGCAGCCCTAGGAAGATGCAACAGACACATCAGATGCTTTTCGGAAATATTCAACCGGTTAGTTTTTAAAAAATTTTGAGATTTTAGAAATAAAAATTTTTTTGAAATTTTTTAACAAATTCAATCTAACAGAATATGGGTTTCAAAGTGTTAAAAGTGACTGAAACGTCTCAAAAACAAGGAAAAATGACTAAAAAACATTTTAAAAATTTCGTGCCGCCGGGTGGGGTCGAACCTGCGACCCTCTTTTCCAAAATCGAAAATTCCCAAATTCCCCGAAATAGGGCAATATGGAGCTCAAAATTTTGCATTTTGAGCGTAAAATCCGAATTTCCTAGTTAAAAAGGCTAGAAATTAGGTTTTACCGTACTTTTGGAGAATTTTAAAATTTGAAAAAAATTTCAAAAATTTTTTTTTCGATTTTTTTGCCCTTTTTGCCAATTCCAGCCACAAAAACGATTTTTAGACTTTGATTTTTGTAGTTTGTGCCCATCCCATAGAGTACTGTACTTTTCTTCCTTGTTTTCATGCACTTTACAAAGCGAGATGTTCCATTTTTCATTGTCTCTGCGTCTCTTCGTCTTCAACACTCTTTTTTGAATTTTTTGGGTTGCGATCCTCACGTAGGCACCATCGGGTGGTCTCGTCTGGGTTTCAGATGTCACGTGGCTGGCGTTCGCCATCTGTCTCGTTTCTCTAACCGTCTCTTGTTGTGACACTCTCTCACCGGTCCTCTGACGTGTCTTTTTTAGAGGGATAATGGACGCTGCGAGAGACGCAGACACAGATGTTTTCGAAATTTAGTTAGAGCACCACTTGGCGGTGAACTTTCGAAGCAATTAAGAATGTGTAGACGAGACAGAGGGATTGAGAAGTGTTTTGTACTTTTTTTTGGAGAACGCATTTTTTAGGATACTGTAGTCCTTTTAAAATGATTTGAGGGATTTTCGGGCTGCAAAACAGGCCAAATCTGAGCTCAAACGGACTATTTTGAACGGAGATAAGCCCCTATCTCATAGCCAGGAGCATGCCCTGGGAAAACCCATTTTTCACAACCTGATCCAATTTTTTGTTTAAGAATTTTTTTATAATTTTGTAGCTCTTGAAATTTTCTATATAGTGATTTTTGAATTTTTGAATTCCGTGAGCCGAGATAAGAGGCGTAGAAGCCGGCGCCCGTTTCTGCCCCACTGCACCCCTCTCCCTCTCGCTGACCAAAAAAAGCATGTTTATGAAAACTCATTTTTGACAACTTCATATGAAGTTTTTGTTAACGATTTTAAAATGATTTTGAAGCTCTGAAAATTTCCTATACAATAGTTTTTGAATTTTTAAGTTTCCATTCTTTTGAAGCAAGCTACAGGGCGTTGAAGTCGGTGCCCCTTTTTTTGTTCCATCGCGCCCCACTCTCTACTGTGAGCCCTTGGAAACCCATTTTTCCCTCTTTAACTCTAGTCTTTTGTTATTGATTTTTATACGATTTTATAGCTTTTAAAATTTCCTACAACATGGTTTTTGAATTTTTGAGTTTCCATCATTCTGAAGCAAGTTACGGGACGTTGAAGTTGGTGCCCTTTTTTGCCCCACCGCGCCTTCATTCTGTGTGCCTCTTGGAAGACTCATTTTTCCCAATTTCATCCTTAACTGTAATAGTTCAATTTTATATCATTTTGTAGCTCTTGAAATTTCCTATAATTTATTTTTTGAATATTTTAGTTTTCACGATTCGGAAGCGAGTTACGGGGCGTTGAAGTCGGCGCCCCTTTTTTGCCTCACCGCGCCCCCCCCCCCTTTCAGGGGGCGCAACCGGCACCCCCTAGGGGTTGCCGCCCCTTTTTATTCAAAGGCTTATATCTCGAAAACTACAGTTGCTATCAAAAACTTGTCAACTACAAAAATGTTTAAAATTTTATACTGAGCAATTTTGTAGTTTGTAGCTTTTTTCTAGCTATTTTAGTTTTTGAGATATTTCTGTTTTTCCAAAGCTAGCCCCTCTTCTCTTCCTTTTTTCACACATATCTCAGCCAGATTTTTGTGATCTTGGACTATCTTTAAGTTTTGAATTTGTTGTGTTTTGCTGATGCTTCCTTCTCAACAAGCCTATTATCTCTTCCCGCGGATCAAACACCAGAAAACACATCAATGAGTCCCTCCCGTCCCGAACAAAAAATATGTATACATTTACCTTCTAAACACCACGTCATTATTTTTTCGGGGTTCTGTTTGTCAACATGATTTGTCCTCCTGTAGGTAATTATAACCTATAGGGATCCTTTTAGGATACTGTATGCGCCTTTAATTGTTTTTTTCTAATTGTCGAAAACAAGGTTGGTTGTTTGATCTGTCCCTGGGAAGTTATTGATCTGTAATTATTGTAAAGAGTTGTATATCATTTGAAAGCCCTTGAAATTTTCTACAAAACTGTAAAATTTTGTTTTCACTGTCTTTATTTTGAAGCGAGTTATGCGCCTTTAAAGTTGGAGCCGAAGAGACGCAGAGAAGCGAGAGGGCTCTCGTTTCTCTGCGTCTCTTCTGGAGGTATTTAAAGGCGCATAACTTGCTTCAAATTAAACATTGAAAAATGACAATTATATAGTTTTGTTGTAAATTTCATTTGCTTTAAAATAACACCGCAAATTCCAAAAATTGATGAAAATTGAAAAATTCGATTTTCTCAATTTTTGATTCCCAAATTCAAGTTGCTGTAACTCGACTCAAAATGGCTCGAATTCAGTGAAAATTATCTTACTTTTAAGGAAAAGTTTCTTGTTTAAAAGATTTATGATTTATTACAATTCATTTAGATTTATTACAATTCATATCCTAAAAATTCAAATTTCTCTTTGAAAATCTCGTTTTCTAGGGGTTCTCTTGATTTTTAGGATTTTAGCGTACCTTGTTTTGTAGGCCTTGTAACTGCCTTCAAATATGCTCGATTTTTATAATTTTTTTTTATTTTATAGGAAATTTTTCGGTCTATAAAATTTGTGTAGACACCAAAACTCGAATTTCTGATCTTTCAGGTCAAAAATTGATTTTCCCACATCTCTCCCCTTTCCCCATCGTTCAAAAGAACAAGAAATTGATAGGTCATGTTTTGTCAGCTGATCGGGAACCTTTTCTGACGACAAAAATATCGTCTGAATCAGACCGAAAAAAACGAAGGGGAAAAAAGAAAAAGAGGGTTTTGTTTACCTGGCAGCGTGCCAGAAAACCCAGAACGTCTGCGTCTCTTCATTCCCCCCACACTGTCTCGCGCGCGCCCGTCTGGCGCCGTGCCAACAGACGGCGAGAGAGTGTGCGGAAGGGAGAGTGTGGCGAGAGGATCTCAAAAACTGATCATTGGTTAGTTTTAGGAGGACATAAAACGATTGACATTGGAAGGGAGGAGGAGAGGGAATTTTCGGAATCGGTTGAAAAAAAAATTTTTTTTTGAAAAAAAAAAGTTGTTTCCGTCAGAATATAATTTTCTAGGTTATAAGCTTTCACTTGCTAAAACAATGAGCTCAAACGGTCCACTTTCAGCAGAGTTATGCGCCTTTAAAGTTTGGGAGAGAGACGCAGAGAAGCGAGAGCACTCTCGTTTCTCTGCGCTTCCCCCTCTCTCTTTTAGCGGTTAAGTTTAAAAGCGCATAACTCGCTTAAAAAACAAGCTAGAAAAGTAAAAATTTCACTGAATTGTAGAAAATTTTTAGGGCTTTCTGGTGATATACGGTATTTTTGAAAAATTCAGAATTTTTTTTTCAAGTTTTCGATTTTTTTTTTCGAATTTTCTATAATTTTTGAATATCACCAGAAAGCTCTTAAATTTCCTACAAATCTATGTAATCTCCATTCTTCCAACTCTACTATGAAGCGAGTTACGCGCTATTAAACTTCTTGAGAGACGCAGACAAAGAGAGCGCTCTCGCTTCTCTGCGCCTCCCCCTCCTCTCTCAGCTGTTGACTTTAAAGGCGCATAACTCACTTTAAAGACAAGCTAGAAACATAAAATTTTACAGAATTGTAGGAAATTTTAAGGGCTTTCTGGTAAAATATAATAATTATTGTCTATTCAAAATAATCGCGCGGGTGAACGAGTAAAAAAACGTGTAGAGAGTCTCCAAACCTGTAGAGGCGCTGTAGAGACGCAGACATTTTTAATTGTTCACTCGCGCGATTATTTTGAATAGACAATACGATAAAATTTTGAAAAAAAAAGAAGAATTTACGGAAAAAATAAGGTAATTCCAGCCAAAATAAAGCTAGAAACTCAATCTTTTCACTTTTCGAGTTCAAAATTTTCCTTCTACTATCTGTTTTCTTACATATATTTAAACATAAGCAATGTCTCCCTCTCGAGCAGGAGGAAACGGGAAAAACACTCCTTGAGCACTTGTTTACTTTCGCATAAAAATTTTTTCTCCGCTTTTTTCTTTACCAAACAAGCCTCTAGAACACAAACAGAGCCATTTTTCTCTGCGTCTCTCAATTTGTCGTACTCTCTCGTTATCTGGAATTTTTTGATTCTGAATTTCTGAATTTCTGAATTTCTGAGTTTCTGAATTTCTGAATTTCTGAATTTTTGAATTTCTCAATTTCTCAATTTCTGAATTTCTGAATTTCTGAATTTCTCAATTTTTCAATTTCTGAATTTCTGAATTTCTGAATTTCTGAATTTCTGAATTTCTGAATTTCTGAATTTCTGAATTTCTGAATTTCTGAATTTCTGAATTTTTGTTTAAATTTCAGCAGTTTTCCGAATAACAGAGTTTTCCAGAATTTTTTAGAATTTGTCAGAATTCGGTACAAAACTGAAACATCTGAAAATCTGAAATTTTTCGAATTTTTGAAAAAATCCAAAAAAGCCAAAAATGGTCCGTTTTCTCTATTTTTATTCTTTCTTTTCAAACCCAAAAATCCCCGAAAACAACCAGATAAAAAAGGGAATTTTTTGGCAACAACAAAGATCACGATGTTTTCATGGGTGGCTCTCCTCTCTACCCCATAAAAATTTCCTCTTCCTTTTTTT